CGACGACGGCAACGAGAACGTCACCAAACAAAAGGTTTAATGAGCAAAACAATAGCTGTGCGCGTGCGTTGTAAATCTTTGTACATTTCTTTGCCATCGTCTGCAAAACAACACTTGAAATGACCAAGTTTTGCGTCGTCTGAGGAACGCGACCGACGACGGCTATTTTTTTCGTATTTCCATTTGGAATTGAACGCTATCATTGCATATTTAGCCTGAGCACGTTTTTAGAGCCATTGGCGTAGTGAACAGTTCTAGACAATTGCGAATTTCGCTGGTGAAATATAAATTCATTTTTGACTTGCCGCCGTCGTCGTTGCTTAAGCTTCCTAAATCAGTGCAGTCAGATCTCGACATTTTCAGGTTTGTTTACACTATGTTTTCAGTAATATCCTTTTGACAACTTTCTGGTTCGTTTTACGAATCAAAATTTCAAACTTTTAGATGGGAGAGAGAGGGTTTGACATACGATAATAAATGTCAACTAGAAAGCTAAAAATTACCGTGTTAACTCCACCCACCCCATCCACGTTTCATGCTTCACTTTCAACAAGCACGAGCACAATTCTGGTTGGATTTCCCCTCCGACTATGTGTTGATAAAGAATGTTCACTAAACCATTTAACCTTAAACTAAGGCGTTGGTATGGCACGTTGCGAAGGAAATTGCGGAAAAAAGGTCTTCTAGTTTTAGTGATTTGCCTACTTTACTCTGCATACTAAGTCCCAATAATTCTACCTACCTCATATCCAAGCTTCTTAAGAAAGATTGCAAGAAGTGGAGGATCTTCACCAAAGAAACTGTTCAGGAAAGGTATAAACAAAATAAACTGTTTTAGTAGACTCCTACTAGCATGTTAAGGAAAATGCTGCAATCTGATTGGCTGAGCTGTCGCATACCCATAAGTGTGCAATGACTGAGGGTCGTCCACAAAATGGCGACGTTTTCTCAGCTTTGGAAGATTTAGAAATATCACGAGATAACTCAATTCTCCAGAGGACTCAAAGAAGGGCTTTGAGTACTACACGACTTTGAAACCTCAAAATTGTTGAATGAACTGTTGAACGCGCGTATACCGTTGCAAGTTTCAAAAGACCGCGAAGTCTGGGAAATCTTGTTTCAAATTTAAAGTGCCACCATGATCAAATTCTCCATGCCCATTTTTCACATTTTCGCACACAATAGGTCTTTCCTAGATTTTTTGCCAAATTTCAATCTATTACGAACATT